TTCTTCTTCTTCTTCTTCTTCTTCTTCTTCTTCTTCTTCTTCTTCTTTTTCTTTTTCTTTTTCTTTTTCTTTTTCTTTTTCTTTTTCTTTTTCTCTTCCTCCTCCTCCTCCTCTCTCTTTCTCTCTTTCTGTCTCTCTTTGTCTGCCTCTCTTTCTCTCTCTTTCTCTCTCTCTTTCTCTTTCTCTGTGTGTCTTTCTCTTTCTCTCTCTCTGTCTCTGTATCTCTGTCTTTCGCTCCCTCTCTTTCTCTCCCTCTCTTTCTCTCTGTCTCTCTTTCTTTCTGTCTCTATCTCTGGGTTTAGGGTCATACACCGTTATATATTAAAGTCAGAAAGCATGCAAATGCGAGTAGATCAATAGGTACCATTTCGGTGGGAATTAAGGACAAATTTCATAACAGTGAGGACAATTAACCAGTGGAGCAGCTTTCCTTCAGAAGTTGTGGGTGCTGAAGGTTTTTAAGAAGAGACTGGACAGTCACTGGTCTGAAATGGTACCAGTTCTCCTGCTTGAGCAGGGGTTTGGACTAGAAGACCTCCACGGCCCTTCCAGCTCTGTTCTGATTGATTGATTCCCTGCCCATTCGGCATATAGCCATGCCAGCCACACGTCCATGGAAATTGTCTTTGGACACTGCCCGATCCCTCGGTTAAGAGACGGAGATGAGCATCATGCCAAGATAGTCGGAAACGACCGAACGACTGTGCAAATCAAATCAACACACAAACGCACACCAAATTCCCTGCGAGAAACACACCATGTTGTCTTAATTTTGGAAGCTCAGGAGGTGTTGGTTTTGCCTTCTGCTCAGGTTTTCACGGACCCCAGCAACCTCCAAAGGCACATTCGCTCCCAGCACGTCGGCGCCCGGGCGCACGCTTGTCCGGACTGCGGAAAGACCTTCGCCACTTCTTCTGGCCTCAAACAGCACAAGCACATCCACAGCACTGTGAAACCTTTCATATGTAAGTTGCCTCAGCCACTGCCTTGCGCCCCAGAAATCCCCTTGTTTGTCTCTCTGTTTGTTTGTTCGTCCATCAAATTGATTGGCTGCCCCACTTTCCCGTGGGGTAATGGTTGAATGGAAGGGAGGGGAGTCAGAGAGGCTCGAGATCTGTACACAGGTAGTCCTCAACTTACAACCATTAATTTAGTGACCTGTTCAAATTGACAACAACATTGTAACTTATAAGCGTTTCTCGCAGTTACGACCTTTGCCCCATCCCCACGAACACACGGTCAAAATTCAAACACTTGGCCACTGGCATGTACTTAGGACTGTCACGGTGTCCCGGTCCCCTTGTCAGGGTTCTGAGTAACATACCCATAGCAAACAAAACTCTGAGGCAGGTAAATTCCTCAAAAAAATAAATTTATTGGCTATATCATATTGGCACAGGCTGGTGAAAACCGACTCTGATTATTCCTGCGGTTTTTACCTCATTAAAAAGTAAGCGTGGTTTTTTTCACTTTCTCAAACAAACAGCCACATGGTCCAATCAGGATACTGCCCAGTTGCCAGGTGATGCCAGACCCCTCCTTCCAAGCACTTGCAGGAATGACCTTGGTTCCCAAGAGAAAGCATTTTGTTTTGACCAGAAACCCCAACTATTCCCCCCTCTCTCCCTGTCCCTCTTCTCCGGTGTATCAGCGCTGAAGTCTTGAAATTGGCCTCAGTCTGGCCAGCTTCAGGGCTGATCCCCCTTTTGCGACCTTCCGACAAGCCAAATTGATGCCGAAGCCACTTAACGACCATGTCAATCAATAACTGCAGTGTTTCGCTTAACAACCGTGGCAGGAAAGATCGTAACATGTGGCAAAACTCAGCAAACAAACATCTCACTTAGCAACACAAAATTTGGGGGCTCAGTTGTGGTCATAAGTCAAGGACTTCCTGCACACCTTTCAACTAAATCCCACATACTTTTTTGTTTTGCGTTGTCACGTTGTCCACGTCTCCATTTGGTTCCCGTCGGTTTATAAACGGTTCCCACTTGCTCTCTTCTTCTTTCTTTTTTTTTTCACACCCGCCCTCTTCCCCCCCCCCCCTTTAAAATACCGAGACCACCCGCTTTCTCTCGCACCCAGCCCCGTTCTTTCATATTAATTTCATACTGGGTTTTGGTCTTTTGGTTTCTGTTGATGCTTTAGGCGAGGTCTGCCACAAATCCTACACACAGTTCTCCAACCTCTGCCGACACAAGCGCATGCACGCCGACTGCCGGACTCAGATCAAGTGCAAGGACTGCGGGCAGATGTTCAGCACCACCTCCTCGCTCAACAAACACCGGCGGTTCTGCGAAGGCAAGAACCACTACAACCCTGGCGGCCTTTTCGCGCCCGGTTTGCCTCTGACGCCCAGCTCCTTGATGGACAAGTCGAAGGCGTCGCCCAACCTCAATCATACCGGACTCGGCTTCGGCGACTACTTCCCCTCCCGGCCGCACCCGGGAGCAATTCCGTTCTCGCCTGCTCCCCCTGCGTTCCCAGCTCTCGCCCCCAGCTTCCCGGGGATCTTCCCTCCCTCGCTGTACCCCAGGCCTCCTCTCTTGCCCCCCACACCCCTGCTCAAGAGCCCCCTCAACCACACCCAAGAGGCCAAGCTCCCCAGCCCCCTGGGCCACTCTCCGCTCCCGCTGATGTCCGCCGTGGGCAACAGCAGCCACCCTCTCCCTGTGGAGGAGAGGTTCAACAGCACCCCTTTGGGGAACTCCTACTTGGAGAAGCTCAAAGCCAGGACTAGTGATCTGTCGGACGCCAGTGACTTCGAGGACATCAACACCACGACGGGCACCGATCTGGAGACCACCACCGGTACCGGGTCAGACTTAGAGAGCGACGCAGAGAGCGAGCGAGAGAAAACGAAGGAGAAAAGTAAACCCCGGGAGAGCAAGCCAGATTTCGGCGGCGGTTCGGTCCCCGCTGGTTCCGCCAACAGCACGAGTGACCTCCCCATCTTCTACTCCCAGCACACCTTCTTCCCTCCCCCCGAGGATCAGCTGCTGCCGATGATGGGGGCCACGAACGATTCCATCAAGGCCATCGCTTCCATTGCCGAAAAGTACTTCGGGCCCGGGTTTATGGGCATGCAAGAGAAAAAAATGGGGGCCCTTCCCTACCATTCCATGTTCCCCTTCCAGTTCCTTCCCAACTTCTCCCACTCGGTTTACCCGTTTGCCGAGCGGAGCCTCAACCACAGTTTGCTGGTCAAAGCCGAACCAAAGTCGCCCCGGGACCTGCACAAAATCAGCGGGCCCTGTTCGGAGTCACCCTTCGACCTCACCACCAAGCCGAAAGAAAGCAAAGTGGCGGCCCAGGTCCTGCCCGCTCGTCACGCCGGCGAGGAGCAGCCTTTGGACCTCACGATTAGCAGTCGCATCCGGGCCAGTCATCACGGGAGTCGAGATCCCCGGAAGAACCACGTCTACGGCGAGAGGAAGCTGGTGGCCGGCGACGGGGTGCCCAAGATGAACCAAGCTCAGATGCTCCCTCAGCCTTCCCTGCATTACGCCAAGCCCTCCCCTTTCTTCATGGACCCCATCTACAGGTATTAACATTCTCAGCCTTGATGGTGGTGGCGGTGTGTGGGTGTGTGGGAAAGGCCTTGAAGGACGGAGGGAAAATTATGCTGGC